ACACCTGATTGAGACAGTTCTTGAGCCGAATTGGAATTATTTTCGGAACTATTCAGTTCCTCAACTAACTCTTTACCATCTTCAAGAGGATTAGAAGAAGTATGTGATTCTTCCATGGTATTATGCTCTCCGCCTTCTTTCTCTTTTCTTGAGAAAAAATCCGGATGGTCTTTCCCGAGACGAGCACTTTCAATCTCTAGAGCATGAATAATGGCATCCTCTCTTCGAGCATATTTGACAGCCTTTTTTGAGGAGTTAGCAGCAGAAGCCTTAGCTTTCTCAATACATTCATCATATTCCCCACAACGGAAGGCTTTCACCCGCTTAGATTTTTCAAGATTGTACCAGTCCCTGAAACAGCAGTAACTATTAGACACTTCATCAAGAGTCGAGCTAAAAGGAAAAAGAAAATGTTCACTTCAACAGTTGGTACTCTTTAAAATGGGAAGAGCAAGAAAAATACAATTCCGTTGACAAAAACTGGGTTAGACAAAGTAAAAGACATAGGATTGTGAAAATAGAACACCACAAGTCCGAATGTTGAAGCATTAGCAGGCTAAAGGATAGCAAGGGAGCTGATCTCTCCTTTTTATTTGTTTTGCAGGCCAAAAGATTAGTAAGGAAGTAATGTCTCCATAACTGGGAGAAGCTGGTGCAATTACAGAAAAAGTACTAAGATGCTTTTAGTGCCCTAAAAGAACTTTGAGCCACTTGAACTGGCATTAATTTGCCAGGAACATGTAAAACTGGATTCAGAGTGGAATATATTAAAAAGGGGCTCCAAATGACTTCTGTCCTTGATGCCACTGGGCAAGAACCACAGTTAGGATCATAGTAACCTTAGCTAGCTTGAACTCAACTTTATCAATAGAAGGAACATTTCCCATGTTGCCAAAACAAAATCCTGCAAGCCACACATATATGACAAAATGCTTACAACACTAGAAAAAGTAAAAAACAGCATTGTTACTCGACAAATGCCAATAAACACCTAAAATGTGATCTTACTTCTTACATTGAATTTTCAAAGCCAGAAACTGCTGTACATACTGCATAAATGGCACAAGCAGTATAGAACATTTCATGACAAAGAAAATAGCATAAAAAAGCTTAATGGAGATACTAAAACCGTAAGTAATAGAAGCAGACTGAATAGATTGCATTGCTGACCCATTCTTCAAGACAACTCATATTATCCTGAAATGTGTGTGTGTGTGTATATATATATAAGGAACTCAGAATTTGAGGATAAGAACTCTAGTATTACAAAAAGTATAAATGAAGAGCTAATACTTTAACACTACAAGTTAATTCAGCAGGTTTTTCATGTTTCAATTGTCAGAAGTAAGCTACCACAGTTTATTGTTTCACAATACGGCAATGAGTGCCATTTGCTTAGTTCTGCTATAGGTGGGAAGTGAACTGACACACTAAATCTAAATTTATGTTCCAAACTGACACTATAAGCCGAAAACTATAGTAACTCGTGACTACGGGAATCTTAGCAGCCACAAAAGATTGAATCATACACTCAGTGAACTCCTTTCCTTCACTTGACTCTATAAAACAAATGTTACTTTCATTTTGTCTAGTTGCTGCTTCTAAGCTAATTTATCAAATCCTATCCAAATTCTAAGCATGTAAAACAGAACAGAAGTATCTAATCTCTTTTTAATCCATATTTGACAAGTGTAGGAGTGGGAACAATGATTTGGATTAAAGCAAAAACTAGAGGAAAAAGGACCACGGTTTCACCCTTGAAAGAAAACCATTAGAAGAAGAACTAATTTATAAATATGTTCACGCCTCCAGAAACCACCAAAGAAAGTGCCAAACAAATTACTTAAATTTTCATACTTAAAGGGTTGCCGTTAAAATAAACCATAAATAAATAAATATAAAAAGGCAAAGTAGCTCAGAGATGAATGTACAAACAGAAGGAACAGAAACTTACACACTGGCATCCTCTCTTCCAAGTAGCTTAACGGGGGTCCCTAATCTTGGTGAAACAGAGCAACTCTGAGGTAACTCATCTGAGCCCAAAATCCGACCAGGCCACCATGACCCATTCCGCCTCCGGACCCACACCAGACCCCCAACCGACGCATCAATGGCTTTGACAACAGACTCACCAGAACTCCCCATCTCCTTCAAAGCCACCCGAGATTACCGGGTTACAAAACAAGGGAAAAAATCTCCAAAATTCAGTCAATCCACAGCATTCCTAAGCATGCCCAAAGCCCCACAAAAATCACCTCTTTACCTATCATCAAAAAAATGCACATAACCCTTTAAACTACATAACACAAAAAAAAATTAATAATAATCAACAGAATGTTTTTCAGAAAGAATTGAACTCTCACATGCAACACAAAAACCCAGGTATCTAAAACATTAAAACACCACCGCAAACAAAAAAAACAAATGAATGAGTTAAAAAAAAAACAGAACAAAACCGATTGAAGGGTTTATGCCAGAGATAGATAGATCTAGCTGGAAAAAATCTTCAGTTATAAATATGACACTTACCCTTTTTTTTTATAAAAGAACAAAACCCACCTCCATTTTTTCTTCTTCTTTCACTCTGGTACACATTGAGATTTTAGTTTCAGAGAAAAACATACATACATATATACATGAACTAAACAGAGAGAGTGAAGTGGTCGCCGCATAGAAGTAGAAACTTGATGAACAAATGAAGCAGAAAATAGTATTTTCTCTCTGCACGAACAAATAAAAATGGATCGAACGTACCTTTTCCTTTTTAGTATCTTTTTTATTTTCTCTTCCAAAACAGAGAAGAGAGAAAGAACCGTCTTCACTCGCACGCTCACACAGAAGGCTCAGAGGGAGAGGGAGAGGGAGAGGGAGAGAGAGGTTTTTTTTTTTTCTTCTTTAAAATAATATATTATATTAATATTTGTTTTTTTTGGAAAACAAGTTTAGTGATTCAGCACGACAGGTTGTACAATAAGATATCTACACCTCTGTTTTGTCTACTTGTTAGTGGGTCCTTTCTTTTGAATCTTTGATCAAAGAAAACGTGTCCCTCTATTTTGTCATAATTGCAATAACTTGTCACGTGAAATAAGTAAATTGTTAACTTTAACCCTCAACTAAAGCATTGATTAATTGGTTGACCTCTACATTTTAAAGCATTAATTCTCTCACTAGGATGGTTATTGTGGGCAAAACCTACCTAAATTTATGGAAATTTTTAACCCCTAGAGCCTCATATAGAACCAAACCGCCCTACATTTTAAGATAGTTATTTGTGTTTAGAAATTTATCTAATAACATTATTTTTTTAAGATTACAATATTACTTAATTATTTTGATTTTCCTTAGTATATTACTCTACTTTTAATAAGATGTCATGTCAGATTATTTTTTTTTAACACGAAATGTATTTATATTCAAAAAAAAGTATATTCGTAAAAATATTTAGAAAAAAAAGATATTAGATAGCATTAAAGACTTTTTCATTAGCGAAATCTGTTTTTATCGAAAATTTAAAAAGTTCTTTTGCACGCGTGACTATTTTTTTCAAAATATAAAAGTAATTATCTAATTAAGTCAAACATGAACGACTATCTAAAGAATTTACTTTTAAAACTAAAATGACTTGTCTATTTTTAGAATTTTTATGTTTTGCTTCATTCTAAAAATTTTATTTCTAATATATTTGAATTGATTAACAAATATCCTAATAATAATTGAAAAAAGAGGTAACACTTTAAGGTCTTCCTATTATATTTCTATTTAATGTCCCTTTAAGTAAAATCTCATAAGAATAATAAATGTTTTTTTAAGATTTAATTTTTGTTGGTTTTCGGCTTGTATGGTGGAATATGAAGCTAATAATTACTATGAAAGAAAAGTTGTTGAACCTAATAAATATTTGTAAAGGTGAATCTTGTTAATTTTCACATGTAACAGTATAAATATTTATTTTTTTACAACGTCATATGTCTAGGAATGACAATGGAGCGAAGCGGAGACAATTTTATGGCTATGTAGGTAGGGCAGTTTTCAAGATTGAGCGGAGCAAGTGAGATGTGAGTCCGTTTGAAGTGATTTTAAAACCTAATGGATTATGGGCATGGTGAGTTGCGGTCTATGCGATTTTATGCGGATTCAAATTTAATTTTAAACTTTTGACATGTTATAAGAGTTATAGAACATTATTTATTAAGACAATTTATTTAATGTTACTAAAACATCAAGATAGTGAATGGAAATTACTCAATAAAAACTAATACATTTTCTTACATACTTCCTATTTGAAATTTAAAAAGGAAAATAAGTTATTATCTATTAATCAATACAAATTAAAGAGAAAATATATTTATTTGTAAGATTTTTATTTTTTATTATCAAACTTAATTTTTAAAAAGGCAAATATTTTTAAAATTTATGTTGGAGGGTTCATGTGTGGAGGTTTATGCGGGTTGGACTGAAAATGAAAAAATTTTGTTATCTAAGGCGGGTTGAAAAAATTTATGGGTTAAACTCAACTTGCCCTACCCCGTCCGATTATCATCTCTAGATATGTCTATGTGTTCTTAGTTCAACTATAATAATTTTTATTGAACAAAACAATGGGTTTTAATTTAGCCGCAATAATATTTTTATTAAATAAAATAAGGTATTTTTCTCACTTTCTTTACATGAAGTTATTATTTATACTAAATATATAAAAAGTATTAAGCATTCCATACATAAAACTATGACAAAATCAATATTAAAAAATAAGTGTATATTTAGGGGAGAAATAAAAATGCACAAGCATATTACAAATATGAGGGATTATGAGAGCTCCATCTAAAAATTCAAGTACGATTTTGAGTTTTAAATCATAAATATCAGACTATTTTGGGTTGATATTTATAACGTTGCAAACCTTATGAACTCAGATGTCACGTAAAGGAACTCCAGGATTCTTTGATAATTATAAAGAGTTTGACTTTTAAATGTGTTTGAGATCTACGGCTCTGATTTCTCACGATCACTGTGAATTCAGTAAGGTTCCTTTACCCTAGATTCATGCGAGTGAAACTCCAATACGACGTCGTAGCCTTCTCCATTGCTTCTCTTGAGATTGAGCTCTAGGTTTTTTTTTTCTCTACAGCTCTCTCGAGTCTGTCTCTGTCTCTGTCTGCTGTTTGAGTGATCGCGAAGCAAGAAAAAGTGAGAAATTCATCCTAGAGAGCAATCATGACAGGTAATTTCCTTAAAAGATTTGATTTTTCGCAAAAAATTGAGCTTATTTGACCTATTTTTCATTAGATGTTGAGCTGTTGGTTTATAGCAGGAGGATTTTTAGTATATGAGCTATGTAATCGGAAGAAATCCAGAAGTCACTTAATTGAACTGTTTTCATATATATATGAAGTAACAATTATATACTTAAGCTACATATTTGAATTTGTGACAAATCCTGAGAATATGTGCTAGGCATATGCTATACAGTATTTGAATATATTGGTGTGTTATAGAGTGGAATTCATTGATTGCAATCACTATATCTGTCTTATTAGAACTTTGGACTAGACTATGTGCAGGAGCAAGAGATGGAAATCGAAGCATTGGAAGCAATTCTTATGGATGAATTCAAAGGTTCAGAACCGTCCTTTATAAGTTGTTTCTTATTTGCTCTGTTATCTAATCTTATTGGATAACTTTGTTATGGTGGTTCTGATAGAAATTCACTCCAGTGAAAGTGGGCTAAACACTTCAAATCGATGCTTCCAAATTACTATTTCTCCTCAGGTACGCAGAAATTTTGGTATCATTTACTACTTGGCTGTTCAAATTGATGATATGACCTGCATAGTAGTGCCTAAAGCCGGAATTGTTTATAAGTAGTAGAGCTTCTGTTTGTCCTTGTCTATGTTGCGCTAGCGAAAATGAACTTTGCATGTTATTGGTTCTTTCACCAGTTTATTTATGCTGTTTTGATTACTATTATCATACTTCTTACAACTTTGCTTTTTGTACAGGAGGAGGACGAAGAATTTACACAATCATCAGGTTTTGCTATTTTCACAGTTATTTCCTCTGCAGCTCTCTTCTTTACTTATTTTTCATCAAGTAATGAACTCCCGCTAACAATGATTGGTACAAATTGTTGGTGCAGTTCGACTGGCTTTAATATTCTCTCACACAGAAAAATATCCGGATGAACCTCCACTTTTGAATGTCTCAAGGTAATTTAACGTTGCACTAGGTTATGCCATCCCAGGACCTGTAGTATTTTCTATATTTGCATACATTGTTCTTCAATGCCTACATTACAAAGGGAATTGTCCTTAAATTCTTTTGTTGCTTGTAATTTGAAATGGACTTTACCTTTTACCCACGTTTCAACATATCGTAAATGCATGTCCTTTATGTTGTTTCTTGCAAAGATGACAAGCTGTAGGACAGACTTAATAATAACAAACTCAAATATTAATGTGGTCCAGCAAGACTTAATCCATCAAGTGAGTGATCCATCTTTGTGTTCTTAAAAGGGCTCACTTTGCTAATATTCTTAACAGCAGATGTTAGTATGAACTCATTTTTATGTCAGCATAACAGTAGGTGCCTAGTAGCTATCTTAGTTTTGGTTTACTATTATGATGTGATATAAGCAACTTTGTGCAACTAATACATCTATGATCTCTCTCTTGTTTTTTTAGTTTAAAAGGAATTCATTCTGGAGATCTGAAAACATTGAAAGAGAAGCTTGAACAAGAGGTATGTTTCAAGCCCTGATCATATGCAATATGCTCCTGGGTAATATTGTTTCTTCTGCTAGTGAAAATTTGGCTGATTATTGTGGTAGTGGCTATGACCTCACCCTGAAGGCCCCAAAAAGAAGCCTTATTCTCTCTATCTTTCCTGTCTTTAGTATTTAGCTACTGATGTGGAATAATTTATAGAATTGGCTAGTGTTACTCTTTTGTAATTTCATGCACTTGTTTTTTCTGTCTTAGCTACTTATATGAATGCTTGCATTCACAGGCTGTTGAGAATCTTGGCATGGCTATGATCTACACATTGGTCTCATCAGCTAAAGACTGGCTATCTGAAAGATTTGCTCAGGAGACCGACGAAGGTGTTGAAGACGATGAAGCCAAAAAAGAGGAAGTAAGTGAAATGAGCCTTTATCAACTGCTAACTTGAAAAATCATAAATCGAAGATTTCAGTGATTTTGACACATAAATCATGATTTCCCAACTTCTATTGAGTAGACAAAACCAGTGCTATCAAAGGCAAAATGCACAAGAAAGCGTTAAGGTCAATTGGAGATTTAAGCACAAAGCACGAATATATATGTATATGTAGTCCAAGACTAATAATTATTATTAAAAAATAACAAATATATGAACAAAGAAAGAATTACGCTACAGTGAAATATGAATTATTTTGGTGTCGCCTTTTTAGGATTACGCTCATTGGCAAGGGAAAATGTCTTATAGCCTTGATGAGGACACTGACGTGCCCATGAAGTGAGGCAAAGCACTCAACATGTTTTGTTCCTTCCTTCCGGGATTAAGCGCGCCTTTGATAACACTGAACAAGACCTAGTTGCTTTAGTATGATTTTGATAACTTATCCACTCGAATTCAAAAGGGAAACGAGGGTGGGGTTGTTCTATCCTGATGGTACTTGGATGAGGCTCCAACATATATTCTTCTAATGTTACTTCAGAAATTGAGCTAAAAAAATAGTTTGTGTTTTGACTTAAGAAGGCCAGCCTGGCCAAGATACTGGAATGTACTTGAAATCTTCCTGAAGTTGTCAACAGTGTGAGTGCTATGGTTTTTGTAGTTTGAGCATGAAAGTGATATGACGGTTATATCCATCTCTCGACTCTCAGTCAAGGTAGTCAGAGGTGACCAATACTTCAATTCTTCACTTTTGTTACTTAGCCTCTTCTGGAAACCTTACAGATTTAGCTTGCATCTACATTAATTAAGCAATTCTGTGGTGCCCTTTTGAACTACCTACTGGAAAATCGTCAAGTAGTTTATTTTGATTGATTGGCCTTGAATCTTGATCGCTTAATGTTATTGTTCATTTGACTTTAGGTAATTGTTCCACATGGAGAAGCAGTTACGGTTGAAACATTCTTGGCATGGAGGGAAAGATTTGAAGCTGAACTAGCTCTGGAAAGAGCCAAGTAAGTTTTTTGCATCTGCTTCTTGGCCAAGGTTGTAGCACTGAAGTGGGTCTTCTTCATCCACTAAACTAGAAGCATTATTCTTTCTGAAATGCCAGTGAAGCTGCATACAGAAAAACAAATCATCAACTCCTAATCTGTGATAATCATAAATTTTGGGCAACTTTAGGGGCACTTTGTTGCCAGAGTGAAATGTTTATTATTTTTCTTATTTGTAGAGTGCAGGGACTTTTAAACAGGTGATATTAGGAAATGTTGTATCGACGAGTATATAGACAGAATGTGTTGATTATTGCCATATTATGTTACCTCTTAAACTCCTGTGCTTTCAACATTTTTGCTTTAGAAACTTGTGGCTGGTGAACTACTTTCAGCATTTCTTTTTTCTAAATTGGGCTATTTTGGTTATGATGTGCAACCATATATCAATGTTCAGGTTAATGCCAGATGCAGCACTTTCTGTTTCGAAGGAAAAGAAACTCACAGGGAGGCAATGGTTTGAAAGTGGAAGAGCCAGTGGGGTAATGTATTCTGTTGCGTAGTTGTTGTTTCTAAGTTAATTTTGAAATTATGCTATTTTATTCTCATCGATGCCTGCATTGCATTATGTTATAATGGAAACTGAAAATTTAAAATGGCCATCAAAATGATTTCTGTTAAAGAGGACACCGAGCTATAGTTTCAATTTTGCAGATACTGACCAGAGTTCCATAAGTATTCCATTAAGTGGAGTCTGTCTCCCTTTTTGGTGTTTAACAAATGTGAAGGCAATGTTATATAAGACAAACGTCCAATTCTCTTTGCTAAAATATACTGACATTAGTCTAAGACATGATAACAATGTATTGATGTTTTTCTGCATTCAGCCGGGTTAAAAATGTAAGATGCAAGCAATGACTACCCTCTCACCTGATTTTTAGTATGATCTCGATATTTGTTCTATTATCTTTTACTTTTGTGTTGTCAGAACTTTTTGTGTTACTGAGACAAGGGTTATGGGGCTCAGAGAAAGGAATACCTGTATGATAAAAGTGTAGCTCTGGGCCCCGTTCCCTTTCCTTCTGATTAGCCTGCTGCTAGTAATGTTCCCTGACCATACATTAATTCTAACAGTTAAGATAGTATACACAAGTGTTTGCTGTATGTAGTGGTAGCTCATTTGATTTGGGTATGAGGTGCTGTTACTGCATAAGCTGCTTAGGGAAGGTTGTGGGTTCATGATATGGCTATGTGTGCGGTTGTTAAATAGGTTTTTCTTTCTGTCAACAGAAAGCTGCAGCAGCTACTGCTGAAGAATCTGATGAAGACATGGATGATATTGATTTCGATGATGATGATTTTGAAGGTCAATCTTCTTTTTCTTGTTTGTGCTTTACTTCTCTGTTCATTTGATTGTGGATCTTAATGACGTGATTATTTTTATCTTTAATGTTTTCCTGTGTGAACAGATGATGATGAAGAAGATATGCTTGAGCACTATTTGGCTGAGAAAACAGATTCATCATCTCATTCTTAAACAGATTCAACGTCAAGATAACTTTTGTTTTATGCTGAATGTGGAAGTATTATTTTGCTCATTTCTCAAATGTTGTAATGAGGTATTGCAGGTTGTACCTGTGCCAGTTTTGGCCCTAGATCAGACAGCACGAGTGCTGAACATATGTTCACTGAGATATAAATACACTTTTTGATGGGTTAAAGATTTATTGATGATGCTTGTGTGTTTCAATTTAAAAATTTGCTCATCTGCTCCCTCTGGATTTAGATATGTTCAAAACTCTCCATTTCTCTGTTGAAGAGGTGAGGGTGGAGATTTACTAATACAAACCAATAATGGAAGAACCGAGACTAAACATGTCTTACCATGAAAGCTAGAATGCTTTAGGTGGTTCAGGTATTTTGTTGTGTATGAAAAACACAATATAATTATCAAGTTTCAAAATTACCACTTTGCATCTCTGTTGATGGGAGGTTGCAGATTTCCATGAATCAATTAAGATGAGGGGGGGAAAAGGCGTATATAAATATATAAAACACTAAAGCATAAACGTCAACAAGAAATGATTGTTAAACCATATTAGTTTTTCTTTATAGTACAGATAGCTGAGTTACATACTATGAATGAACACAAGTTTTCATAAATCATAGGGAGATCTTTCCTTGTAAATTATCTTCTTTGGATTGCTCGAATTGGAACCAGGTTGACTGACTCGAGGTCCAGTTCCCTATGCTTCAGTTTTTGGAATAGTTGGTTTGTAGAAATAAGAATACTTTTTTGGTTCATCTCCAGATTTGTAGTTCATAGACACAGAAGATGCAAGTTTCACTAGACTTTGTTGAGCCTTTTGTAAGACTCTAGTTGTCTTCACTTTAGCTATATAAAAGCCAATAGCATCTACATACCATCCACTTCTTCCTTTAAAGCCTACAATCTGCCCACCTTCCATTGGCATGGAAAATGGCGTTCCTCCTTCAACACCAAATGGTCCAAATTTTCGTTTGTTGCTGCTAAAAGTGAGGGACCTTATCACAGGACTACCACCATACACCACCGGGCAATAATAGCCGCTAACGCTCGTTAGGTATTCTTCTGGAAATTGCAGCTTAATCTGAAATTGAGATTCACAGGCATTAAGATTCGTAGTAGTAAAAGATTTGACTCAAAATGCCAAAAGAGAGAAGAGTTCAAGTTTTATATGCAAATTGTTAAGTGTCCTACAATTAGAACACCTAGGTGTAATTTATATGCAAATTGTAAAGGATCTTACATTAGGTGAGGAGTAATTGTCTCCTTATCAGTTAGAAATTATTCACAACCTAAGACTCGTTTCCTTAACATGGTATCAGAATCAAATTCAATCCTGTCCAATGAAGACTTTGAATTTTTTTTCTCTTGTATGGTTTTGGGTAATCTCATTTTCATGAACTACCTAATGTCCATTTTCCCTTTAATAAAATAACGTGCTAACCTGATAATTGGCAGGTAACTAACATGCTATAATGAGTGAAACTACACTACACTAGTATTAATTTTTTTTTTATTTTTTTTTTGGTATTGTCAGTGTATGTACTAAAATGTGTCACCTGCGCAGTTCTACTGCCTCCAACTCCTCCATGCTTCTCTGCTTGATAAGGCTGGCCATTTTGGTCATAGACAACAGTGATGGAGTCTATACAAAGAGAATAGACAAGGGTAATTTCTCTAACTCCATTGAAGCTACCATCATCCCAAGGGCTTCCACCATGACCACCCCATGATCCAATGACGATCCTCTTCTTTATTTCGCTTCCTTCGTCCTTCTCCACATGCAGTTTATCCGCACGATATTAGTTCATCAATCTTACAGCCTAAAGTCTAAACAATGAAACTCTGCTTACATTCAGAAACGAATCACAAATTTAAATTTGATAACTTACCCAGTCCATCACCGTAAATGCAAAGATATGATTCCAAACCTAATCAAGTTGATTTCAAGAAAGAACCGGTTTTATATAGTGGTAGAAGCCAACTTATCGTTGTAGTGTTTATATAGTGAGAGAAACCATTGTTATTGCTGGACGTATCTGATACTGATTTTTAACCTATAGACAGTAGTGGAAACTCTGCAAATCTTATCATAGTTGGGATTTTGGATAAGAATCAGATGCGTATGGCAAAGGCAAAAGAGACAGAGAGTAGTGTTAGCACTGTAGCAGTACTTGTTCCAGTAATCACTAATGCACCTTCTTTTTATCTGTAGAGGAAATATTCCTTCACTTAAAAACCAGCACTAAAGAAGGCCGATATATGTACAATGAATTCTCTAAGATAGTTCCTCTCTGATATGGGGGGGAGCTGATAAAATTTACAAGACAGCAATAAACTTCCATCCCAAAATGGTCCAAATTTCAAGCAAAAACCAACCATCAGAAAATGGAGTTGACGAATTATTTAGATACACGCACGTAAAAAACGTTCTTTAATTTGAACTTGGTCAGTTTGGGTCAGATAAGGGAGCGGGAAAAATCAATGTCGGCTTTTACTTCCACTGAACTATACTAGTTTGAACCAAAATCGGATGAGCTCGTCTGAAAGTAAAATGATAAAAAAAAAAAAAAAAAAACTGGTTCTAGTTCAAATAGATGACTTAATAAGTACAGGAAATGCATATATGTCCTAGGTATTACTCATCTATATCCTTCATATCTCTACATCTTCCGGCAGAGGTGCAGCGTCGCTCCATTTTAGTTCCAAGATCGTATTAGGATACTCCGCAGAGGACACATCTGGAAGCAGAGACATTTTAGCGCCTTCTAAATAATGTCGCCAGCATTTCTTTGAGTAATATTTACAACAACTGGGAGGAATCTTCTCTTTGTTCAATATCTTCTCCTGAATGAACTTGTATTCCACAAAAAATAACAATTGAGTCCAATCCACTGTAGTAGTTGAAAGCATTGAAGAACCAGAAAATACGACTTAAGGATCAAATGAAGACAAGTCATCTTACCACGAGGAGGTCACTTCTGAGAGATGTCTTTAAGATGAGAGTTTTTGGATGAAAATCTCGCAAGTGACTGTTGAGAAGATTTTCCACCATTCTTGCTGATTTAGTCAATTGTATCTTGTATGGTCCAAAATAAGAAAGATGAAGTCCTCTCAATTCCTCATATATATTCACACCCTATAAATGCAACATGAACGTATAAGCAAAAAATAGAACATACAGGAAATCCATATAGAATCATTGTTGAGAAGAAGTTCGAAACCTGTTTGGAGGCAAGAAGCAACTTGAAGCCTTTGCCATCAAACCCTTCAATGAATTTCTGCACTGACTTCTGTTTTTGGGATTTCAAGTGAAGCTTCACTTCTTGCAACCGTGAAGCATTCATGGAAGAAAACGGCAACTCAGCACCAGTATATTCAAATGAAAGTAGATTTGGTGCATCAATGTTGGCTTCCTTTAGTTTGTGGCACCTTACCAGAGAGAGCGTCTTCAGCTTGTCACTCAAGATTGTAATTCTGTGCAATGTACGGCATTCCAACAGGAACAGTTTTTCAAGTAATGGGAAGTGGGAGATAAGTTCATGAAAGGTCTTATCTGCCATATGTGAATGATTCAAAGTCAAATTCTTAAGATTTCCGCACCCAGCCAAGATTAATTTGCACCTTGAAGATTTCTTCCCATGGAACCAAAATGTCTCAAGATCAGGTGCCTCAAGTTTGACTGACCTGAGGCTGGATCGCTCGTGTACCTCAAACTTATTTAGTTTAGGCAGAGATGAAACATGCAAGAATTTCAAACCATAGCAATTGATCAGTCGCATATCCTCGATCAGAGGGCAGGCCTGTACAAAATTATGGACTATATTCTCATTGATACGCATTGCTTTCATGGATAACTCCCGTAGATTTTGGAGCTTTATAGCAGTAGAATCACCCACTTCACATCCGTAGAGCTTCAATGAAGTTATTGTCCTAGAAGCAAATACAAGCTCAGGCAGGGCATACAACTTGCCATCCATTTTTGCATGAATATCAAGCTCATTAACATTTTTGTCTGTAGCAACACTTATCCAGTGATTCATAAAGGGAGCCAGAAGGTGAACAGAAAAGACGACATGCAGCCTGAACTTCTGTATACTTGGCAACTGTTTAAGTCTGGTTCCTAATGTATTCTCGACAAACAGAATGAACTTATGTATTAATGGCAGCTCCACAAACCCCAGGGATTCAAACTCCTGTTTGAAAATTGAGCTCTGTTTCTCCACTGGTAGAGGTTGGAGATGATCCCACTTATCAGCAGCTTTTACACATTGGAAGTGTCTCTGGTCAAAATCAAAGGACGTGAAAGACTCCCAAATGACTTTCCACTTCTTAGACAAAATGCTAGTTCTTGCTAAATCTGCTGGCCAGCGCAGAAGACAAAGGATATGATGTAAAATGTGTTCAGGCAACTCAGAGATCCTGTCCACATTAACTGCTCTTTCATCTGTGTTGTTGATGATCTCCATCATCTTTCCCTTTTTTCTATCCTTTCTCTGTCTCCTGCCTTTTTGTTTCCTTTTCTTCATTATCTTCCCGTCTTTGGAAAATCTAGAGACCCTTTGTTTTGGCAAACAATAAGTGTAGAGTTTTAAGTTTTAGATATCATACAGTTGCCAAAAAATCATGTTTAGATTCAATGAAATTCCATTTTATTTCTCATCACTTGAGCACAATGAGAAGACTAAATCTGTAGTTCTGGCGCAAACTAAATCCCCAAAAGAGACCAAAAGGAAACCAATCCAATCCAAAATCAATAGAAGAAAAATAAAAGGAAAGCGTCCATCAATTTCTAACCTTCATCAGCGGTTTAAATAAAACACAAAAACTAAATAATATTTTGTGCCAAAATAACATGATAGAATGCAAAACATCCTAAACACAACCATCTTAATCAGCTTGAAACCCTAAATGCCAAATTGAGTAACGATTGATCACCGCTGTGCCAAAATAACGTATACACAAACATCATAGAATGGCAAGTAACAGGGATAATATAAGTTCAGTTGTTAGGCTATATTAATTTTCACCCTATCTATGAGAGTTTGATTAAAAAATTAAAACAGAATCCGAAGAAATCTAAGCATGACCATCTTAATAAACCTGAAACCTTAAATTCCAAATCGAATAACCATTTGATCGTACATATCAATAATCTCGGAGTAAATCAAAGAAAAATCCGAAATTACCTGTTGTGACTGCAGATACTTCGAATTTGGGAAGACGAACTGTGTTGAATGAAACCGGTCAAGATATTTATATGTCGTTCGCTGACTTGGGCTTTGTATTCTGCTTAAAAGCCCAAAGACAGATTTTGGGGCCTGATGAACGCCATATAGATTTTCTTGAATTGACACATAGGTACAAATCTACTACTACATTTTATTAATGAGGAACATTTATATATAACTATTCAAAATTACTCTACATAACTATAGTTTGGTGATTTTAATTCGTAGTTACATGTAATAGAGATAAGAGAGGCGAGCGATACTAGGAGAGAGGCAAGCGAGAGAGGGTAAAGAGTGGAGAGAGGTGAATCGTATATGTATATTGGTAAGATAATTATATTTTATACATATATATTTGTATATATGACAAACGAGATTGGAAAAGATAGGAGAGAGAGCAGTGAGTAGGAGAGAAGTAAATTGTATATGTATATCGGTTAGATAATTGTATGTTATACATATGTATTTGTATATTATGTCGAATTATATACAAACGTAGCTAATTATACAAACTCAAAGTCAACTCACACAATTAATGTATAATGTTAGTTGCGAGGGTAATTATAACAAAATATAGTTATAATGAGTAATTAAGTAGTATAGATTTGCTTAATTGCGTAATTTTTTATTTTTTAATTGACATATCTATTAAGAAAATTATTATTGACATAGCGAGTTTATCATTTTATCCCTATTAATTTTGAAGTGAATGAATTAAAAAGTTAAAATTTTCAAAGAATCCTACCTTTCTAAAGTAATTAATTGAGGGTATAATAGGTAAAAAAATTATTCTTTCTTAATTTATTAAAATAAACAAGTAATTTAAGACAACTAAAAAAGAAAAAATAAACAAGTAATTAGAATTTGGGGACAAGGGAGATACTCCTTGTGCCAACAACTTATTTTCCCTATTACTAATAAAAAAAAAGAATGTCATATTTTTATTTAAAGTAGTGATTTAATTTTAAAATATTTCTTTTATTCTTAATAAAATTATTTATAATCATACAAATATTTATCACTTATTTCAAATGAGTTTTTATTAAAAGTTTTTCTTTATTTTTAAAAATGTTTTGTCAAATCAAATTAACGCATATAAAATGAAACGTAAAAAATAATTTTCAACCCAATAATATTTAGCAAATTTTAAGCCCAAAAAAGGCATAATACACAAATATACCCTTTAACTTGGCCCCATTTTACAATTATACCCTTTAATTTTGGATATGCACAAGTAGACACTTAAATTTGTGTAAAATTGAACAAATAGACACAAACGTCCTACATGACATCCTACATAGAAATTGGTGTCCTACGTGTATTGTGACACATATGACACATGTGTCTATTTTTTCAACTTTATACAAATTTAAGTGTCTATTTGTACATACTCAAAGTTGAAGGACATAAATATAAAATAAATTAAGTTAAAGGGTGTATTTATGTATTATACCCCTCAAAGGTCACTATCCATAGCTAAACCATTTATCCATTTATTTTGCTTAGAAAAAATAGGAGAATAATTTTTTTTTCTTGTTTTAAGTTTTTATATCCCTAAAATTGGGGATACATTTTTTCCCTGTTGATATATATTTTTAAAATTACGAATTCAATTATTTTATTTTATTCTTATCTAGTTATTAGACATCCTTAAAACTATGGATTCGATTATCTTGTTTTTCTAAAATTAGATCTTCACTGTTTTATTGTCGCTTTGATATGCAGTTAGCATTAGTTAAAATTATTATTTTTTAAATTCAACCATGAATCTTTTTATACACATGCAATTTATCAGGTGACTACAAATTAATGTATATCAAACCAAATATAATTTATTAGGTGAATAAGGACCCATGTATATCATTTTATTAGGTGAATATCAAAATATCAACGTAAATAATGTATACAAATTTGCTGGATGAGTTTATTAGCAGGTGTATGCATTTACATATATACAAACTCAACTTCAAATCAATAAAAAAGACAATTGAATGTATATCGGTACATTCGATGAAAATGGACCAGGTATAACATATAAATGTGTATCAATTTATCAGGTGAATATAAATTAATGAATATCAATACAAACATATGTATACAAATTTGCTATGTAAATTTATTAGCAGATATACATATTATGTGTATGCAAACTCAATTAAAATTAATTTAAAAACAATTACAACCTCAAACTCATTTCAGTGAAATATGGAGAAGACAAACATGCTATGCATAAATTTTTAAAGCAAAATATGAGATAAATAAATATTTGAAAGATTTCAGAACAATAAATAAGAGAGAGCGTTACCAGGGAAAAAAATATTAATTTTTATACTCTCTATTTTTTTATTTAAGAAATGTATTAGCCCAAAACGCTAAAATGGTCATTTTATGCTAATTTTAGAAAACATGACTAATGAATGTTGATTTGAAGTCAGTTTTTATGTTGTGCCGATTTTTTTAAGTTAGCTACTAGCTTTTTATTAAGTGTTTTATACTTGTACATCAAATTATATTATAACTTACTAACATAATATTGATTAAAATAAATACTTCAATAAGTAGTTATACATAAAAGAGACCAAATACAAGTAACATGTGAATTGCTGAATTTGGATCATTGTTTGATGACTTACTTATTGAGATCAAGATAATAAGATATTAGTCTAAAATTCTCTATTACCTTTTATCAATAGAGGAATAACTTTATTTTAACTTTGAATTTCAATAAGTAAAAAATCTCAATGAGTTAATTTGATAATATTATTATGAGTAAATAAGACAAAACAATTAAATGTTTAATCACTCGCAACTACATATTTAAGAAATTTATACAAAACAAGAAAGATTTATTAATATATATATTTAAGAAAAAATATAATATCGATTAAAATTATGGGACTGTAAAAAAACTCGAAAGTAAATAATTATTTTAATACTTATAGTTAGGACTATTTTATTTAACTAAATCTTTATCATTAAATTAAATATATGCCACATGTCATCAATCCAAATAAAAAATTAAAGTAATATAGAGAAAAGAAATGGAGAAATAATCTTGAGAGTTTTAGAGCTTCAGGCTATGTTAAAACATGCTTTTATTTTGGAAAAAAATTAAAGTTAGTGGAAGTAAATCTTTTTTTAAAAATAAATTTGAAAATCAGATTTTGCATTCATTGAATGCAGATAACTATTGATAATTTTTTATAACTATAATTTTGATACCATAAATACTTTTAATATTTAACAGATGAATATATAGACAAAAAAATGTCAGTCAAGCTTATGCTTAGTGATTTAAATATTGTAATTTTAAATTTGTTTAGAAAAATGGTGAGAGGAGAAATGAAAAACTAATCTTGAGACTTTTAGAGGTTGTGACTATGTTCAAACATGCTTTTATTTTGGAAAAAAGTTAAAGTCAGTAAAATTTTTTCTAAAAATAAATTTAAAGAACAGAATGTACAGATATTTATTGAGAACTTTTTACTAGCCATTAATTTTGAGACCATAAATACTTCAATATTTAATAGATGAATATACAGACCAAAAATTCCCCCAATCAAGCTTATATTTAGTGATTTAATTATTATGATTATAAGTTTGTCACTTATAAATGATGTCATTATTTTTTTTACATATATTTATTACTCTTATTACTTAACACGATACATATATATAAAACACGTACTGCTTAACTAGTAGTGTTAAAAAAATTTATAAGTGATAGAAAAGTTCAATCCTCAACCCTCGGATCTTAAAAATATTTAAATGACAAAAAACCAAAAAAAGAAGGAAACTAACTAACTGGTGATTCCATTTTTATTTATTTATTCCCAAGGGAAAAACATAAGACAAATCTAATTAAGCAAACATCTAGGTTCTTCCAAGTTCCAACAACAATAAAAAACATACACCTATTCCTTTTCTCTCACATACATAAAAAAAAGTTTCCCAACCAACAGAGACAACTTCGATTACTGGAAAAAACCTTAAAAATTTCTCTATTGTTTAGACATCTGGAGAAGATGACATCTACAAGCTATAAAGCTACTTCACCAACAGATTTGGTGTGCCAACAAGATTCTATTTTTATTCTTTTAGACTCAAAAACTTTTTTTTGGTCTCTGGATTCTTCATAAACAAGATTTGTTCCTTCAATCATGCCCATACACTCATTTATTAAGTACAATTAAAAAGATAAGTTCAATTTCAGAATTTCTTGCTCCACCCCCATGATAGCTGTTTCACCATTTTTGGTATAGTATTGATTCAGTACCCAAATCTCGGGATTTGAATTTTTTTTTTCAACTTTTTGTGATCTTGGAATATATATCCATTTGCTTTGTTGGGATTTTCTTGATCTGGGGTTGGAATTTTATTGCCTGTACTGTTTGTTTGAATCGACTTGTTGATGTGATTCTTGAAAATCCTTTGCTTTTTAATAGTAGAATGTTGTGAACCACACAGCAATGATAAGTAAAGCAATTTGGTAAAAAGAAAATCTTGAGTTTTCTTGAAGTGATTTTGTTAGTGGTAGAATTAGAAATGAAGTCAAGAGTAGGGAGTCAAGGATCATTGGAGGAGGGTAAAGATTCTGTTACTAAGGTGGTAACTCAGTATAAGCCTTTATCAATAAGGTTACTTCAGTTCCTGTTGTTGTTTTTGGGTATTGGTATTGTATTTTCATTGCTTAGTATGTATATGGTTCGGTATTCAGTAATGCAGAATGTAATTCCTATGGTACAATCAAGATTTCAGCCCTGTTTTCAACAACTTAGTTTGGAGAGTTGGATTAGGCCTCCGTCGAGTCTGTTGCATTCTATGAATGACACACAGTTGTTCTGGCGAGCTTCAATTGTTCCTCAAATCAAAGAATACCCCTTTAATAGAACGCGTAAGATTGCGTTCATGTTCTTGACTAGAGGCCCTATACCTTTGGCGCCGTTGTGGGAGAGGTTTTTCAAGGGTAATGAGCTTTACTCAATCTACATACATTCATTGCCATCATACAGACCTGATTTCCCACCTTCATCAGTATTTCATGGCAGGCAAATTCCTAGTCAGGTAAAGTGAACATAATCCTTTCCTTTCTAATTGTACATTATGCTTGAGTTTCTTCATATGCCATTATGTGTAAAAAAAAATAAATTAAACTTTGCATTAGTTTCCACCCAAGTTCTACCATTACCCAATGTGTGTCTGTTACCATTTTAGGATTTTCATATGGGGAACTGTCAAAGAGGATTCTCTTTGAATATCTCATCAGATATAAATGCTTACCCCTTATATTTCCTATCATGTAAGCCTCAGTCGTGGTCTATGGTAATAATTCTGTGTTTTATGCCTTTTCAGACAAGGTTGTTGAAACAGATATTACATAGATACTAGATATTTAAAGCTTATCGTAGTCTTTATTGCCCTGGGACTCAGTAAAGATGAATTGTTTGTATTATTTTATCGTCTAGCTTCTTTTTAAGATATCTGGATTCATGCTCCACAAACTATCTAGGATTTAACCAGAATAGTGAATGATACATTTTGTTCAAAAGGAGACTAGACATATCTGGACACAGTTATAGATATACAAAGTTGGTGATTTTTTCTTCTTCTTCAATGTTTATGGTTATGGAATTCCCTCAAGCAGTACAAAGTTAGGACATGAGGAAACTAAGTTCTTTCTTTTAACTAATCATCATCTGGCTTAGGTATGCTTAGGTGATATGTTACTTCCACGGTGTTGTACTTGAGGTAATGCCAAAGTCATCGAAAGTTGGTTGCTTTTGCAGTGAGGCTTCAATAAGGGTTGAACTGATGAAAGTGGGATAATATAGTTTAGATGCGTTGTTTATATGAGTTGGTCACAGTTGTGTTCATCTAGATGGTTTCTGAATATTTGTGACAGCTAATCACTAATGTAAACCTTTTATGTACTTAATCTCAATAAATACTGTAAGTTTTTTTCTGGACTAGTGAATGCTGTAATATCAGGGACGCCAATAATGTTCCCCATATTAGGAAGTTTGTACTATGATCTTATGTTGAGACTTTTATAGCAACCCATGTTGGTTATGTATAGCTGTGATGGATTTCTCGTGCATCATTGGGCAGAACTGGATAAGCTGTCCTGGGTAGTGCAGTAGGCCCAGGAAGATGTTAGGATATAGTAACCTCCTTCTAATAGCTTTCAACTGTCCATCTCTAGAAAGCATTCCATTGTTTTTCTCCGATATTGGTTTTATCATTGGGTGAAGAGTGTAGCCCCTTTCTGTATGGACTATTTTCTTTGATAAAGCTACAAGGAATATTTTCATGCATATTTCATAATGGATGATTCATATTTGTTCGATTAGAAGGTTTACATGAGCCTACTTTGGTGACTGAAGGACAGACAAGCTCACCAGTCAAATCCTTTTCGCAAAAATGTTCGTTTTCCATTTAGCTGCAATTTGGTAGTACATGAGAAGTAGGAATATAGAGGCCAGTCTTGAAATAATAGATCAATCTCACCATTCTGTTGCTTCTTTTTGTGTAGGAGGCGAAGTGGGGAAGAATGAGCATGTGTGATGCTGAAAGACGGCTTCTTGCTAATGCACTGCTTGATATCTCCAATGAATGGTTTATCCTCCTATCTGAGGCATGCATTCCTCTCCATAACTTCAAAGCTATCTATCACTACATTTCAAAATCGAGGTACAGCTTTATGGGTGCAGCCGACGAACCTGGACCTTTTGGAAGAGGACGTTACAATCCAAATATGGTACCTGAGGTTAACATCACTGAATGGCGTAAAGGATCCCAGTGGTTTGAAGTGAACAGGAAACTGGCTGTTGACATTGTTAAAGATGACGTATACTACCCTAAGTTTGAGCAGTTCTGCAGACCGCCATGTTATGTGGATGAGCACTATTTTCCAACTATGCTAACCATAGAATCTCCTCGCCTCCTGGCAAACCGGACTCTCACTTGGGTGGACTGGTCCAGAGGTGGTGCTCATCCTGCTACATTTGGGAAGGCCGATATTAATGATCAATTTTTCAAGCGAATTTCTGAAAGCTCAATATGTGTATACAATAACCAGCCAACTTCACTTTGTTACCTTTTTGCCAGAAAATTCGCGCCTAGTGCGTTAGGTCCTTTGTTAGAACATTCTACTAAGTTTTTGGGCTTCTGAGATTCGAGAACATTTGTTACGAAATATGAGCAGGAATCCATATAGGAAATTTCCTAGCTAAATAGATCTGGTGAACAAGCAAGTGTCATGCTTGCTATTAGATAATTCAATATATAGAATGCCATGCATGATCTTATATGCTTACTGTACTCTCTTCTATAATGATATTGTATTGTTGCTGTTGATTTTTAGACCTGGAGTAAACATGTTTAGTGAAGGTTCATACAATCGATCCAAACGTGTTTGGAACGAAGAGATAGTTGTTGGAATTTTATTTTTTTTGTCCAACATAAGCTGGCTCATAGGTTTGAAACTTGGGGGAAGCATGAGCCTGTTCTCTATCCTGCTTTCCCTTGAATACCGTGTTAGTGCAACTGGGTGGTGTGAAGTGTGAACTCGCCCTGTGTATTCAGTCCACACATCTTGCACTGCGTTTTTAACACTAAACTGGAGCCCCAGTAACGTGGATGTTTTCCCAGCTCTCTCATTTACTACGCTTGGTAGCACTTTGTGAACAAGATCAGGTAAACAAATTGCTAGAAAATATACAACGTTGTTATTGTTGTTGAAGTAAATAATTGTTATGTAGACGTTGACCTTGTTCCAGATATTTCAAGCTAGATTGGCCGGTTCCAGCATTACATATAAATGAACAAGGATCTATTTCGTGCATATGCCTACAAAAGAGTAGCACCTCACAATTCATCGTGACCATTTATACTTGATGAAGGAACTTGTGGTTGTGCTTCGAGAAGATATGTAATAGCCAAAGATGCTTGAAGTGCAGCACCCAAAGGAAGTGCTTCTTCGTTTATTTTGAAGTAAGGTGAATGGACTGATGCAGGGTTTTCATTTGTTTCACCCTGCATTCCGAGCATGTAGAAGTAACCCGGGATAACCTCTTGGTAAAACGCAAAATCCTCTGATCCCATTAGTGGTTCCATGTCTTTTACATGATCGTTACCAAGCATATCACCTGCAACTCTCTGGAAGTGTTTGTGCAAGTTTTTGTCATTCACGGTTGGAGGGAAGAAGGGTTTGCTGTTTGTAAGAAAATCCACAGTTGCATTGCACCTCTGTACAGCAGCTTGCCCAACAATAACCTACGCGAGAGGAGAATTAGCGTCTCTACAATGGAGAAAGCATGGATAAACAGAATGAGACTGTCAAAGCCGAAAAAATACAGAAACAAAGACAACTTGCAGAATATTTTGACACATCTGGAAAAAATAATGTAAAGAATGTAGAGACACCAAAGAGTAAGATGGGATTTGCAGTACGGCAATAGGATGAGTGTGCAATTTCATTCCATATGCAGCGTATAAAATGAGATAGCTAAAACCCTGATTATAATAAAGTGGAAAGCACAAAAATGGAACATTTATGATTTTCAAGGCAACATCTTGAGATACTGACTAATTTAAGAATTGATCCTACCTCTTCAATTCGTTGCCTAAGCTGCAGAAAGCTCTCCTTTGAAAAAGCCCGAAAAGTGCCACCGATGGTAACAGAGTCTGGAATAACATTAAATGCACCGCCTCCTTGGAATTTAGCAACTGTGACTACCTGCAGATCATACTTTATGTCAAGTAAAACTACATGACAAAGTTGGAAAATGAGAACAATCTGTTGAGGAATATTGCAATCTTTATCTTGAGGATCACATTTGTAAATGCATCATAAATACAGTTAAACACCCATGTCATTTTAGCTGCGGAATGAGCTTTGTCAACCAATCAGGCTAAAGTCAAATATCATAAACCCAGTAAGTATACCAGTCATTGCACAATCACAGTGAGAGAGTTCAAAAGTTCTTAAATAATCTTTCCATAGTATCATCTCATCAGATACGACTTTTGGTTTCAAAATAGAAATCAGAACAGGGAGGAGAAACCAATCTTATTGTTAAGGAAAGAAGAGATTTTGACCCCCAATTTCCAAACAACCTTAAACAGATTCCTCTATGATTATATTTCCATTTTCATAAAAAAGACAAAAAACCTTTTTGGGCTACGGCTGCAGGCAGCAGCACGCCTCCTGATATTTCTACTACTCATCCAAAAGAAGCATGAATCAGAAAACAGAGAAGAAACTCACCTACTTCAGATAATTTCTTAACTTGAGCTTTGTTAAAGGAAAGAAGGGACTTTGAACCCCTTATCTCTATTAAACTGGTTCCGCTATTGTTGAGCAGGGGCGGAGCCACCCTTATACTAAGGGGGTCGCCCTTCAGCGGAAAATTATATTATTTACACATGGTTATAATAATATTTTATCTATATACAAAAGATATCAAACCCCCTTCGACTACTTTGTGCGTGTATTTCTACCGACTTCGAACCCCTTTATTAAAAATCCTGGGACCGCCACTGTTGTTGAGTACTAAATTAGTTCGGCCCAAGCACTAAAGATATTATCAAGGAAATTTCATACAACACTTATATGAAGTTCTCCACTTTATAAAGGACATCACCAGAATAGATGCATATGGCAATTCAAAGCAAGGGAGCCAAGGATATGCCTGTACTAGCTGATCGAGTAACTTCTGATGGGTTGCTTCCAATTTATATAATTGGATCTCATAGAGGCTCAGAACAGGAAAATTTGAAGTTAATTTAACTCTTGATTGAACAAAAAAATCACCAGACACAGGGACATTCAAGTTGGCAAAATTCTGCATGGGTCTTATTACCTCTTTTGGAGACCATAGGGTCATTGGAAATGCTTAAGATTTATATCATATTTTACAGGCACAGGGCAAGGACAAACTCACTCATCTCGATCACTCAAGCACACAGTAATTGAATCTTGTTTGCAATTCATAGTTCTTTTGCCAACGAATCATGACAAATTCTCTGAATTATTCATAGGTGGTTCAGACGCTGCAACGAGTTAATAGTGACCAGGAGCCAGTACATCATAGGTGTTTGATAACAAAACCCAATTAGAATTTTCTGGTGGTCAGTGAGGCTTATCCCATGGGTAGAAATATACCTGAGAATCCAGAGGATCAGCCTCTCGGGAAACTAGATGCTGTAAGCTGACAATGACATTTGATGCTGCCAGAATTGGATCTATCGAATGTTGTGGAATAGCGGCATGACCCCCTCTTCCACTAATTACAGCTTCAAAAAAACCACTTCCCGCCAGAAAGGGTCCAGGTCTTGAAGAAACTTTACCCAAAGGAAAGTTGGGATGGACATGCAGACCAAATATTGCTTCTACATTTTCTAGTGCTCCAGCTTCTATCATTTTCTTGGCCCCACCACCTCCCTCCTCTGCTGGTTGAAAAACAAGAGCAACTGTTCCCTGTCAAAATTAGCCGAGAAAATATCAGCTGCCAGAAGAGTATTATACATAACAAAAAAATTGATGTCATGTATGTACTGAGGAGTTAGCTATGGATTCATTAAGAAAGATTTCTGGATATGGTATTTTCTCAAAAGGTAATCAGATTTAAGAGCAGGCTGACATTTTCAGAAACTGAAGTTGTACACTAAAAAGCTTAGAAGATTCTCCAAGATATTTCCTTTGCTGGTCAATAGAGCTTCTTGCATCCTTTCACACTTCACAAAGCAAATCAAGGTTTAAGATTATATCAGAGGCTATCTTGATTATCGACCAGCCAGAATTCTATTTCCAAGTTGTTGTCACAAGTAGAGAAGGTACACATGATTCTGCTAACTCCTAATCTATTGTAAAGATGAGATTTTTATTTTTTCAAACCACATTCTCTCCATGTAAAAGCATCCTTTCACACCATATAACTTGCTCTTCTGTTACCCAAAGATCTGGTTCCCTGCCCCTAACCCTTTTTTACAAGGGTTATAAAATTAGAAAATGAATGCAAAATAAGACCTACCTTTCTCCAATCAATTACATTGGCCTAAAATTTATTGAATGAACCAGAAATCCAGCATACATACCAAAAACAATGAAATTCATTCACTTAAATGGATATGATGCAAAGTGAGAAATGAGCAAAAGTCAAAACTCGAGCAGACAAAACAAAATTGTGATACTACTAATACAAGAATCAAACCTTCAAAATGTTCTGATGTTGTAGAAGAATCTTTGCAGCACCAAGAAGCATTGCAATATGAGCATCATGTCCACATGCGTGCATTTTACCAGGATTTCTACTTTTGTGCTCCCAGTCCACCATTTCCTGTTAACATTAATATGAAAAACTAATTGCTTTAGCTAAAATACAAAAAAAATAATTAAAATTCTCTCCTCAGTTTGGTGATCTCTAACCAATACATCAGTACAAAAAAAAAAAAAACTTTTATAACAGAATTAATAATCCACTCGCACTTAAGAGTAGGGGAGTGAAAGCATTTGATTTCAAACCTGCATAGGAAGAGCGTCCATATCCGCTCTAATCCCAACAAAAGGGGGGTCTCCTGAACCAATGAAGCCAACAATACCAGTATTGGCAAAAGGGTATTTATACTGAATCCCCATATTATCCAATTCTTCTCTAATAAGCTTACTAGTCTCTAATTCTTCATAACCCAGCTCAGGATTCTCATGTATCCTTCTCCTAACCTCCACCATCCAATCAAAAACCTCAGATTTCTTCGCAAAATCAAGAAACTTAACCGGTATGTCTGGTAGTTCTCCTGAACTCAATTGAGAATCTGAGAATATGGGTATTGTGGCAAAAGAAACAAAAATCAAAATCAAGAAAACCCATCTGGAGATATCCATATGAGAAAAAAAAGTTGGAAGAAACCCACAGATGGAAGAGAAGAGTGAATGAAAAATAAAGGAGTAGATGAAGAAAGGAACAAATTCAACAGTGAAATCTGTACATCATTGGATTAGGTGAAAACGATGAAAATATGGGGAAAATGGATAGAGGGTCCAATTGAAATGGGAGACGTATCGAATTAAAATATTGTTCCTTTGGCAGTAAGAGCTAAGAGATGAGCACTATAAAGATGCCTCCAGTGACAGCTCCAGTAGTTTTCAGCCTACAGTTGACCTCACGTGCTTAATAGAAATCTCTCACGTGCTTAGTTTGCCAGCCGCTTTTTTCCGTCCTTTTATTTATTTATTTATTTATTATTTTTCTAAAATAAAAAATAGTTTCAGAATTAGTTTGGTTGTGCTTTTTTTTCGATTGCCTTTGATCTCCATAGATTTATTTCCCTGTATAGATTTTAGAATTTTAAGTTTTAATCAT